TAACCATATCTCAGATTTCTTATTTTCACCCGCAAAACCGCCTATCATTAAAGCATGACATAATCGGTTCGAACTCTTTGACACCAAGTCTAAGTAATACAACTTCGCTCGCCGAACACCATAACCAATCGTCTGCCTTGTTTGAATGTCCTTAAACACACAAAAATCAGGCTAGAAAATGACAACACAAAATAAGGCAGTGGTTATTTAGGAAACTGACAAGAGATTATAATCTAAAGATGGAACAATCAAAGCAGAATCTAAATTCAAAGTGTCAGTGAGAGACAAGGATCCTTCTCCAATAATCAGAATTGAGGTACCATTGGCAGTGGAAACAAAATTTTATGCAGAAGGTTTAAGAGGAAAGACTTGTTTAGAATCAAATGTCATATGATCTATAGCACCGAAATCAATTATCCACGTACTATTAGAAACAGGTGTAGAAATATTTAAAACCTTACCATCATTACCTGCCGCGGCTGCTAATGCCGAGAATGCTTCAGTGATATCATTCTCTGTCTTTGTTTCAACAACCGCAGCAGTAGAGGTCTTCTTAGAATTCCTCTTTCGTGAATCACAGCTATGATCCCATCATTCTGGATGCCTCACAAGTTCGTAGCATCAATTTTTGTTATGACCACTTTGATTGCAGTGAGTGCATTTGTAGGAAGATTCATTGACACCAGTAGCATTCTTAGGAGGGACGGGCTTTGATCGGTCTTGCTGGTGTTGAGGAGGCCAATTCTGATTAGAACGGTTTCGAGTCACCATGGCGGAAGCTTCAGAATTTCTAAGTTCAACATTCATCGTTTCGCGTCGAACACATTCACGGTAGACCAGTGCATAACATTACTCTAATGCGGGAATTGGATCCTTTCTCAAAATTTCACTACGGATTTGTTCGAATTCACCATCTAATCCAGCAAGAAAAATATGCATCCTTAGTCGTTGAACTGATTTCTGATATGATGCAACATCTTTTTCACTCTTCATGATCACCTGATCATGATGATCCAATTCACTAAAAATTTCAATTAACTCTCCATAATACATAGAGAGTGTTCTGCCACTCTGTTTGGCAGAGAAGGCCCTCTGGTTGAAGGCAAATACTTGTAATTCATCCGCTCCATCATAAAAAGCTTGAGAAAGAGCTTTTCAAATATCGCGAGCGATGGGTAGGCGAATGTGTCGCTTCATAATGCTTGGGGACATAGAAATCAACAGCCATCTCTTGACCCTTTGATTGTCTATATACCACTTCTCATATCCATCATCCGTCTCGGTTGGTGGCTGTGAATTGCCATGAATAAAGGAGAGTTTCTCTTTCTCAGCAATATGCATCTCTATGATTTGAGACCATATATCATAATTGGTCTTATTGAGTACAATCCTTGCATTGAACGATGAGCCTTCGGATTGAATGATAATGGGAGCAAACTTGGTGCCAGATGATTCAGAATCTAACTTGGCCATGGTTTGATGGTGATATGAATTCAATGAAAGGATGATGATGATTTTTTCAAGGCTCTGATGCCAACTTGAAAATTAGATTTTGAGAAGAATATTTTTATTAATTCAATTCATTGTACAATTACTTATTTATAGAGATGGATCACCAGTAAGTAGTAAGTCCTATAGTTGAACTATTCCTATAATCAAAGCTACAATCAAGTTATTTCCTAATCTACAAATAGGAAACAATCACAAGAGATAATTCCTAAAATCTCTACACAAAAGTGGGTGTGGATCTCCTAATTGGTTTAGAGATTTTGTGAGAAATTTTGTTGAGGTGATTCAAATATTGATCTCTGTTGTTGTTGTTATTGGTGGTGGTGGTGGTGTTGTTGGTGATGCTAGTGCTACTTGAAGTAGCAGTAGTGGTAGAAGAATCCCCAGAAGAGTGACAGCTTTTATCCATCTTTCTCTCTTCCTCTCTCTTTTTTTCTCTTCTTTCTCTCTCTGTAATTGATTACTTATTTTTCTGTCTCTAGATATCTCTCTATATGTATATGTATGCATGTGGGCATAAGTTTTTTCTGTGATGGGGAGGTCTTGTTCTATTGAAGCTTCTATAGCATATGAACACAAATATAAAGATTACTAGTGAGCACAGGTCGTATCTATTGCAAGTAGTGAGCATTGTCCCTAAACTAGCTGGTGGTGAACAAGTGAAAAAAAAAAAAAAAAAACCAGAGGTGGTCATCGGGGAGTCAACCGGTCAATGTAAATTTTTCACAAATTTTTATCTTGAGGTGGTCATTTGGGAGACATCTGACAGGACGTCCGACCGGTCGTCCGGTGGGTCACCACTCAACAACTATACACAGTCAATTGCTGAAAGGTGCAAGATATCCTCAGTTTGGTGAAATTTTGGGGCGTTCTCAATTTGATATCATTTTGATAAAACCGTTGGAGACAAAAAAATGTGTATTTTTTTTACCAAATTCAAATTTAGTGATGATTCTAATGAATCATTGGAGATGGCCTTATGTTTTTAAAATTATAATAATAGAGTTTTTTTTTTGTTTTATTTTCAAGACTTTATACCCAAATATTTTTTTTTAAAAAGTAGGTGTCACTTAATATTATTTTAGGATTGAAGAGAAAAGTATTGTGGAAATGATGATAAATAATTTATTTTTTTATGTTAATAAAATGTATTTTGAAATTTATGAAAAGTATTATATACATATATATATATATTTGTTTGACATTTTCTTATACACAAGAATACTTGTTAGTAAGATCTTTCATAATTTTATAAGACTTGATCACTTTTTTTTAACTTTTAACATATCTTTTGAATAGGTTAAAAATAAATAAAATTATTGAAAAGTAACATTCGTCTCATTTTATTATAATCTTGGGCTCCTGACCATGCTATTCAAGAAAGAGGAGGGAAGAATAAAAACAAATCAGCATGTTAAACTTAATAATTGTGTAATACCACTTTGTAGTATGAAATTACATATTCAACTCTTACAAGAAGAGTTTGATCCTAATTCATCTTTTACTAATTGACAAATATATATAGAGTGGGTCCATTATTATTTTCAATGTTTTGTAGTCTCACTATCAATATAGTAAACATTTTGGGACTAAAAAAAGTATAAAAAGATAAAATAGGCTATATAAGTCAATAAGATAAAATGTCACATTCAAACTATAATTATTACACTTTTTCTCTCACAAAAGTAAAAAAAATCTAAAAAAAAAAAAAAATCAAACAAAGTTAAAAAAATCCCCAACATAAAAAAGTTGATTATCATAGCCAACGCCCAACACAACTTTAATATGTTATATGTAAAGTGGGTTCTTTATTAATCTTTTCAAACTTTTATAATCTCAGCACCAATACCATAAAATATTGTGTATTTAATATATTTTATATAGAGTAGGTCCCTTATGAATCTTTTCAATTTTTTTGGCCTGGTTAGTTTGCTTTTGAGAGTAAATTTTGAATTTTTTTTTAAAAAAAAATTTGTTTGGTTTAATGATTTTGATTTTTTTTTTTCAAAATCACTTTCTTTCTCCTACACATCAATCAATTATTTTTGTCTCTCTCATCTCTCATTCTCAATGACCTTTTCTCTCATACACATCTAGTTAATTACAACAAAATATCAAATCATCCCAAACTCTTATACTCCAAAACTATTTCCAAAATATACAATCAAATAAACCAATTATTTTTCTAAACTCTCTCTTCCAAAATCTTTTTTGAAAATTTATTTCTCAAAACCAAACCAAACACACCCTTTATACGCTCAGCTTTGTTTGGGAAGCCAAAAGCCAAGCTTTTTTTTGGCTACTTTAGTTATAAAAAATAAAATAGGCTTTTTAGTCTAATAAGACAAAATATCACATCTAACTCATAATCATTACATTCTTTTTCTCACAAAAAAGCCAAAAGCCATTCCTAAACCAGGCTTTTTAGTCCAAGGTTAAAATAACCAAAAAAGTCAAAAAGCCAAAAAGTCAAAAAGCCAACCCACTTTCAAAGCGAACCCAATAATGTACTCAATTCCTACTTTCATTCTCCTCTCACATAAGTCTTGTTTGGTAGAACTGTGAGAAAGTGCTTATAGATTATGACTTAACAGATTATAGATTACAACTTTAAATATAAGCTGCTTACCTGTTTGGTGCAGTTGTGGGATTATAGATTTAATCAGCAGAGTAGTATTTAGTTGAATAAGCTGTAAAATAGCTTTTTGCTTTGCAATGTCCTTTTTACCCTTTTTTTTCATTTTATTTTTTTATATTCATTTTAATGATTTATTTCTATATTTCTTTTCTTTATTATTATTAATTGTTTTTTCTCTTCTTTATTTTTTTTCCCTTCTCTTCTTTTCTTTGTTAATTTTCACTACAAAAAATTGTACTTTTGACGACTAAATTTTTAGTTGCCAAAAGGTTTTCCCGACTAAATAATTTGGTCACCAACTTGGTCGCGAAAAGACCGTCAACGAAGGTATTGGTGACCAAAAAAATTTTAGTCACCGAAAGTCCTAAATTGGCGACTAATTTTTTAGTCGCCAAAAGCTTACAATTAAATTTAACATCACATTTTCAGCTACTAAAATTTTTGTTGATAAAACGTAAATTTTTTTTTTTTAGCTACTAAATCATTAGTCGCCTAAAGTCTTTTTTAAAAATGGCTACTAAATGTTTAGTCACCAAAAGGTTTGTTTCCATTTAATTCATTTTTTGGTTACTAACTATTTACTCGCTAAAAATATTTAACTCCATTTTTTGCTACCAATTGTTTAGTCGCCAAAAATATCATTTTATTTTAATTAATTTGTCCACAATCTGTATGTATCCCACGCAACTTGTAACAGGTATACAAACAAAACAATACATATATATTATCACCCATTCCATAACACATATTTCACTTACAACCATCCAAAAAAGAAAATAACTTTTAATGTTAAATTTTTATACAAATCAAGTATATCCCAACTGAAAATAATAATTTCATACAGAATAAAAAGTAGTGCAAAAACCATGTCCTCCATAGACAAAAAAGGAATATCTACAATTCCACGCCAAAAATATTTGTAAAAAAAAAATTTAATCATTAGTTTTGATCGAATAGCATTGGCATATTTAAAATTATAAAAGAAAATTATATAATGCAAAATCTTTGCATTACCCTTATGGGTCTTCACAAGAAAATAGCACCCAAAAGATAGAGATGTCAAAACCCTCTTTTACATCTCTGTCTGTGAGTTTCTTCTTAACCTCTTCAGTCTTAGGCTGTTAAAAAAATGCACAAAAAAGTGAGATTCACATAAAATTACATTTTTCACCCACTTCATAATATGGCATTCACTAAAATAATATTTCAAAAATTAATACCCACTTTTAAGTGAAAGCGACTAACTGAAATAAGAACTTGGTCTTCTACAGCTCAAAGAACCTATAGTTATGATTTTCCTCAAATGTTCCACACTAAGAATGACCAAATTTAAGCTAAGGAATATGCATGACAATTTTTTTTAGAATATATGTACACACATAAAAACTGGAGAGCATTTGTGTGCCTAAAAACAAGTAAACCTCAACTTTTGCTAGTCTTTATGTAGCCAACACATATCCAAATTGTGTTATCAAGTTTAATTTAGGGAGATCAAAAAAAAAAAAAAAAGGCTATGCACTGAGTAACAGTTTCAGCTGCAATGCCTAATCTTAATTTTTCTGTGTGCCAAAATCCTTTTCACTATTGCAGAGCTCAAGCTGAAAGGCATAGAAAACCAACAGAAGGATAACCACTATGACCATTTGGGTTCAAGTTGAGTATCAAGCACTATGGGTTGCGTTGGAATGGCCAACAGTTATAGGCATATGAACTTCACCAGTTACACGGATTAAGCAGTGCTCATGTCCAGTTTATCTAGGACCACGGTTCTGAAAAGCGGTTGCGGTCGCCGTAACGGTGGCGGTGGCGCAGTTGCGGTTGCGGGGTGTAAAGGCCGTAGCGTAACGGTTGCGGTAACCGAAACTGTGAATTTTTTTATTTTTAGCACAATTTAAAAAAAACTTACCGATACGTATATTTTTTTTCCATGATCATATTTATTGGGTTTAAAATAAATATTGATCAATTTTTGTAAATTTTTAAGTATAATCCAATATATTTTATATTTTTAAATCACTATAAAATAAGTTTTTTATATTTTATTTTAATAATTAATGACTTTATATTATACAAAAAATCCATCACTAACTATTATATATAAAATAAACAATGACAAAAGTAAAAAAATAAATAAGAGCCTAAATATATATATATATATACATATTTTAATCAAGCCAAATAGATAATGACCACATTTATTATTATTATTATTATTATTATTATTATTATTATTATTATTATCAAACAATATATAGATAGACACACACAAACAAAATGGTTGAGTGATAGCAGCTGAATAGAATAGCATAGGTCTTACAGTTTCAACAAATCAATAACATGTTCTTCATCTTCTCTCTTCTCTCTCTATCTCTTGCTCCTCCATCTTCTCTCTTTGTCTTCCCTCTTCTCTCCTTCCCTCTTCCACCATTTTCAGCTTTTCTTGTGTGTGTTTTTTTGAAAGAAACAGTTCGGAACCGTTACGTAACGGTGCGTAACAGCGCGTTACAACTGTTACGGCACCGTTACAACCGCTACGGCAGCCACTACAGCCGACACACCTGTAAATCTCAATCACACTGCAAAAGCGGTCGTAACGGGTAGCGGTAATCACCAAAACCGTTACGTAACGGCGTTACGTAACGGTTGCGGCCGCTTTTTAAAACCTTGTCTAGGACGGAAGACAATAGGTGTAATATCAAAGAGAGAAGAACATATCAAACAGAACACAATCAGAATTGAGAATACCTGATGAAATTCAACAAGGAGATTGTTGCTGGTAAGATATCTCTCAATTGATAAAGCAGCAATGCATCCTGAACCCGTTGCAGTTATGGCTTGCCTCAATTCATGGTCTTATACAAAGATCAAGAAACTGAAATACAAAATAGTCTCAAATAATTACAAGTTCAATGACAAATACGAATATTTAAGAGCTTGATATATATGTTGAGTCCATGCCCTAACAGATTAAACTTTTGAGGCAACTGGTTGCTTAACATGTTACTAGAGCTTTAGTTCTAGACATCTCACATTCAAATATCGTTGTATTTGTTTGTACCTTATAATATGTTTGTCAGTGTGTCAGTTTGGCTTGTGTTAATTTGTATCTTCATGTTGGATAGGGGGTCACAAATAAAGGGAGGGTGTGAGAGCTTAAAACATGTGTTGGGCTTATTTCCTAATAGGTTAAGCTTTTAGAGCAACTAGTTACATTACAAAACCCAAAGAGTATCATCAAAATTCTTATCAAACTAGGATTTTATTCATCTCTTCAATCAAATAAATGAATTGGGCAAGTGTCCCTACAACAGGCAAAACTAACTTGTTCTACACCTGTACTAATGGAGTATTAGTACCAAAATAGGTAAACGCATCCATTTTGAAGTGCATAAGAAGCAGAGTAAGTGACACATAATGAACCTGGAGAGTTTCATAAAACATAGAATAGAAGTAGATGGAGAGTTTCATAAAACATACAATAGAAGCAAAAATTAATCAAGTTTTGAAATAGTTACCTGTACATCTCCAGCTGCAAATACACCTTCAACGGAAATTTCTGCACTACCCTCTTCACCAACACATAACCTATGCTGTCAAGTTCAACTTGACCTTCCAACAATTGGCAAAAGGCCATCATTCAACTTTTCTCATTTTATTCTCAAACCAAGTACAAAATAATTATATAGAGCAGAAATGAGAAGGCATACCAGAGTAATGACCATTCAAAAAATAGTCTATTTTAGTGAAACATTTAATCCTAACCCTCAACTTGAGCCACATTACCATAACAATTCAATGCAAGGACACAAGCACTACTCAGGTAAGTAGATCAGATTTTTGAAAAGCCTAAGAGACATTTTATCAAACAGTTTGAAGGCAAGAAAAAAAAAAAAAAAAGCCATTGAAAATAAACCCCCCACAAAAAAAATAATAATAATAATAATAATTTGCCTGCATTTTTTATGCAAGTTTTAAAAATAAACCACTAAGAATAAAAATGTTTAGAAGAAAATATATTTTTTTTAATGATCCCATACTGACACGAAATCTTGTTTACGTTTGTTTTGCATTCATAATTTATTTATAAATAAATAAACTCGAAGTGTCAATAATGATTTAGATTTTCTGTGTTCGTATTTTTTGTTTTTTCAAAATTTGTAAACTAATAAAAATGTCAACGGTTTAGCTCATTTACATGACAAGTTATTTGGTAGTTTTGACAGTTTACATAGTGTCTCATATGTATTGTGATTAGTGAAGAGAGTAAGATTTATAATTTTGTATTAAATTATTAAAGAATGTGATTTGTGATTGATTATAAATATGACCACACTTACGAAATAGTTTTTTATTTATGCCACGTAAACATTTTCATTAGACCCATCACTTAGGACAACACATCATACAAGTTTGCAGAATGAGCAATATTTAGATGGGTGCAAGGCCCGTTTGTTTTGGGAGATAGAGATGGAATTGGGATTGAGATGGAGGTAGGACCCATTATATATTGTGTTTGTTTTGAGAGATAGAGAGGGGATTCATAATTCCATAAGATTAGGATGGGCCTTGGGCCCCGTTTGTTTAGGCACATCACAGTCCGGAGTGGACTGTGATGGATGAATAGTATGTATAGCTCATGTTTGTTTTGTGTTGTGGCCTCTGAATTGTTAGTCCATTCGGACTAGGATGGACATTGGGTGAGGGTATTAGCAATCCGGGGTGAGAGATGGTATTAGCAAATTAATCCGTTCGGATTGGGTGTTATCGGACGTCCGGCCGGTCAACTAGTCAACGCAATTTTATTTTTTTTTTAACTTGTTGGGCATTTTTTAGTTAACATTAATGTTTAATGTTTTTGTATTTTTTGTTAAGTAAAAATCATAATTTTATTTGTTTTATTATTTTATATTTATTTTATATAAAAATAATTTAACAATCCCCTCACTAACAAAACAAACACAATTTTAATAATCCACTCACTATAAAAACAACATAATTTTACTAATCCTCTCACTAACAATCCCCTCACTATCAATCCCCTCCCTTCTATCACTGAAAACAAACGGGGCCTTGGAGTGTTAATTTCATCACAACATTCCACAACCAAACACATTCTATGTGGCCCTCCCTCACTATTAGTTCAATCCCCTCGCTCATTGAGCCAATCAAACATGACCCTAAGGCTTTAATTCATGCAACACTTATTTCATTTTTATTTTTTTTTTATTGATAATTCGTTAGTTATATGAATGAGAAACATGATGTTCTTATCTATGTTATACTAAAATATATGGTAGTTTTGGTTTAGTTTTTAAATTAATATTTGAATTAAAAAATCAAAAAATATGTTTGATTAACAAATTTTCAAAACTCTTTTTTTAATTATTTTTTCACTCTCCTCTCTCCGTCTCTTTTTTTATTAATAAATTAATCAATCATTTTTTCTCTCTGCTCTCTCCTCTCTCTTCTCTCCTCCTTTCTCATCTCTCATTCTCTTACATTTTACTCATCAATCAATTAAATTTTCTCTCATACCCATCTATGCAACTAAAAAATAAAAAATAAAGATCATCACAAAGTTATTTTCCAAACTCATAACCAAATAAATTTTTAATTTTCAGAACTCTTTTCAACAATTTAGAGCATCTCCAATGCAAAATGCTATAATAGCATTCTCATTGCTATAATTTGGCAATGAATAGTATAAATATAGCAATGATACTCCAATGTTCAGATGCCATTTTGATAGAACTGTCACGACCAAACCAGCCCCTGTAGGTTTAACACCGTAACCGGCCAGTAATCCGTGGATTACCAAAGGCCTCTGAAGATTTTAGCAAATAATAAGGGGCTACAGAAGTAATAATACAAAATAGACAAGGTCCAATGAGCTGTGATAACGTACATGGGACAGTACATTTCAAAACTTATATATATACATAAGCATGCCAGTCAAAGGACACCAATATTTACAAAGTATTACATCCCAAGACCTGTCTTAACAAAATAGTTACAAAGACTAGCATGGAAACAAAAACAGCCATGGCATTAGACTTCGATCGGAACCTTCTTGGGAGACACAACGGTTGGCCAACAAAACAGTACAGAAGGTCGTCAACTTTGGCCCTGGTCACACGCTGGCTCACCTACATACATAATATAAACTGTGAGCAGAAGCCTAGTGAATAATAACAGAGTAAAGGGGTTTTATGAATGATGTCCATCACAGGTTAGAATCTAGTATTTAAATCAGAACATATTCAGATTTCACAACAGGAATAGATTCAGATACACACTCATGTTCATATTCAGATTCTGCATAAGGTCATACGTGGTACACCCATTAGCTATCAGATCAGATTGGTCTAGAGACCCACATACATAGTTGGTACCAACGACCATAAAGGTCCATATCTTGCGCGCAAGTAGCCATGGTATTGTTACCCCCAGGCCAGGGCTACGTGCAGATTGGTCGCGGTATTGTTACCCCCGGGCGAGGGCCACGTGTAGATTGGCCACGGTATTGTTACCCCCGGGCGAAGGCCACGTGAACTAAGGGTGCCACAATTACCTTTCAGAAAATTGGACATTCATTCATAATTCGTAAGATAGCATTTCAGAAAACAGATCAAACACAAATTCTTATCTATCTGTTGCAGATCTGTTACACCCCATAACCAAACACTAAATTAGGGCTTGAGAGAGAGAAAGAGAAAGAGAAAGAGGTATATCTATTTCATCATCATCAGCAACAACAACAACAATGATCTGTTCAAAGTTATCATTTTTTCCTATATGTCAAATTTTTTTGTTTCATTATCAACAATTATTTGTTTCATCATCATCAACAACAATAACAACAACCAACAAAAAAAAAAATGAACAGATAGCCATATTAGAACAAATCTACCATATACGAACACAGCACCATTGCCATTGAAAGAGTCTCTGACCAAATCTATCAAACCTCGCTATTGCTGCTGCCGCTACGATGGAGATGGAGATATCGGTATATGTGGTGACAAGAGAGAAAGAGAGAGAGAGAGAGGGTTTTGAGAAATTTGTTATCAACAAATAAGTGTTTGTTTGTTTTATATATAGGGTATATTTTGGTTATTTCACAGTGACTTGTCCTTATGGCCATAATAAATTAGCGCCTGAACTTTTGAATAAGAAAAATTTTAAATTAAATTTATTGCTTGAGCGCCCAATTTGATACTAATATTTATGTAATTAAATGCCATTTAAATTAACATTTTATTTTAAAATAACAAGACTCAATGCAATCATATCGTTTTGTATATAAATACCATTTCTCATCACGGGGTAAAAAACAAGAGCATTGACTTCACTAGGAATTGATCCAAAAACGTGGAGGTTATAATCATTAAGGCTTACCAACTCAATTTAGGTGTGGTTTAAGATTTGTTTATTTTTTAGCTTATTGACCTTTTACGAAATAAATATGCAGAAAAATCTAGAAGTGATGTGCTAACTTATAACAAATAAACAAACAAACTGTTTATTTAGGTGGTCCCAAACCAACCCTAAATAGAAGTTAGTTTTAAATTTTTTCCCCCAACAACAATCCCTCCATTTTTCTTCTCTCCTATAAATTCATTCACAAATTCAAAATCCAATCCAAACATAAGGAAAAACATAAATAAGGAATTTAACTTACCAAGATGAGTGGTGCTACATCCCCTAATATTGTGCCCCTCAATTCCACCTCTAATGACATGACCCACTCTTATGTGAAGTAGTTCCACACTCCTCTCCTTCTCACTTTTAGCTCTCTAATTTCACATCATTAAAAGTAGAATTGAGAAAACAAAATTAAGGAGATAAATCATTATTCTATAATATAATAAGACTAAAAGTACAAATCATGGAGTTTTAAGTACATTGCATTCAACCTAAGTTGCCACAAACAAAACACAACCCAAGTGATAGCCTTCCTTACAAAAAGGTTCCAACATTGGAAACGTTTTGAGAAAAGAAATGAGTAGTGCTACAAACTCATAAATTGAATCCCTAAATTTACTCAGAATGACGTAGTAAGAGAGATAAACTCCACACGTATGTGACAAATCAAAAGTTAACATGTATTATGCTACATTATTGTGTATCAAAAAAAAAAAATGGATCTTAAACATTTTTCAAAAGGAACATAACAAGCCCAAAATGATAAGAAAAAAGTAGGGATGGCAATGGATAACCTACCCTGTGGGTATCCATGGAGACCCAACCCAAATACATGGGTTTTCCCCTTTTTTTTTATCCATTGGGTAGGGTAGGTGATATTCTTTAAATATCCACAGGGGATGAGTTGGGGATGGGTACCCACTAATTTCTCCATATGTTTTTTTTTTTTTTTTTTAAGATTCACAACCAAAACTAAATATACATT